CGAAGCGTTCTAGCCGTCAGAGAGGCTGAAGGTCGAGGTCGGTGCCGTGTTTTCTCTTGTTTCTCTCTCTTGCATGTTTGGGCGTCAGCTGATGGATGGTAGCGCGGCAGATCTGCTGGCTACCCCGTTGATGAAATAAAGGCGGAAAGTGTTTTGTCGGGCATTTGTTGTAATATTTAGTTTTAGACAGGGAATCGACAGGCTGACCAGCCACCGATTCACCTTCGCGTTCGGGTTTATTATTGTGCCGCTCGTAGTGTACAGGCCTAAGATCGCCGTCTTGTAGTCGATTGTTGATGATTAAAGGATTAGTGTGTTAATCCGTTGTTGTGTTTATTCGCCGATGTCTCACTCCTCATCCCGACTTCGAATCTGTGCGTTTAACGTGGTTGTGCTCGACGCGTTATTCAGTCGTAGGAACGTCTTTTGCTTCCCGAATCCCCAAATAAATAATTTGTACGGACGGCCGCGAGCTACCCAGACGGGAACGGTCGCATATTCTCCGTTACAATTCTAATAAGAGTAATAATGATAAAGCTAGGGAAGTGCGTCATATCTTGGAATTATTCAGGAACAATATTCAACGATTTAGATTTTTTTTCGATTTTTTTGGTCATACGTACCTAAAGCAATATTTACCTTCTAAACCTGACCGGTACGGAATCAAACTTTAGGCTTTATGTGGAGTAAATGGATATATATATATATATATATATATATATATATATATATTCAACGTGGATGTTTATCATGGTAAAAACGATACAAGCGTGAGGATAAATTTATCCGCATGTGCACTTGGCTCCATAGTTGTATTACATATGGTTAATACACTTCTAAGTAGCCTTTCAAAAAGAAAATTGTCTGATTTAGTCATTCACTTGAACAAATGTTGCTTACGATCTATAAAAACTGTCCATAAAGATAGAGCAAAACAACAATATGATTTTGAAAAAAAGCACCGCGAGGAACGAATAAAGCGAGTTATGATCGTAACAGTGAGATGAATTTTATCAGTGTGATTGACTAAAAAGAAGTCTCCGTTCTTACTACGGCAGCTGATGTAACTCCCTTGAAGCTAATGGAAAGATATTCAAGGACTACTGGGAAGAGAGCGAAATTAAAGTTCCCTTGTGCTTTTTCTTCGTACAACAAGTATAAGTTCAAAGAAGTGTCTATTTCAGATTTTCTTGCGGATTATTGAAATGTCAATAACGAATACTGTAACAATTAGCAATATCTGTAGAAAGAAAGATAAAAAAGTAATGAAAAGAAAAGACATTTGTAAAGAAGTAAGTAGGAAATATTTGTCGCAATTAAAAATACATGATCTCAAATCTCACAAGCACAATTCTAGAACAAGAAACTAATGTACCAACGGAAGATGTCATCTAAGGACTACCAGATACTATGCATTGATTGCAACAAATATTACTGTACACAATGTTTTTCTTAATAACATGTTGAACAAGTAGAAGAATGAATTAGGGGTTCTGAAAAATCATAAGTCAAAAATAACTAAAAAATAAAACAAAATATATAAAAATCACTAAAATATAAAAAAAAACGAAAGAATATGTATTTGTCGACCTTCACGTTAGTAATAATCGGGCAACAGGCAGATTAGCGATCTATTTAGTGGATGTATAATTACATATTCTGCAATTATGTTGACATTTGAGAATTTTTTTTTCTTAAAAACAATGAACTTATACAAAAAATTACTAAGAATAAAAAGTTCTTAGAATCGAGAAAAGAATGCACTTGAATTTTTTCAAAATATTTCCAGCAATTTTAAAATTTTTCAAAATTTGACAATTTGCAAAATCAAAAAAATTTTCTCAAAACTTTTCGAAAAAATTTTAATATATTTTATAAGTAATTCTAAGAACTTTCTTATCTTTTTCACTTTCTCAAGAAGTTCATACTTTTCAAGGAAAAAATTCATGAATGTCTTGGCAAAAATATCGTCATTAACGCGTCATTTTGAACACACTACGATAAAAAATCAATCTTAGAATCATATGTTATGAAAGCTTAGACATTTTTATGCCACCAGTTATTGAGTTTCCAATTGAATTGCAAACCGAGAATCATTCGGAAAACTCGATTTTACAAAAAAAATTTTGAAATAGTCGTGGTTTTTTTTTATTTAAAGAACAATTTCTCATATTTAACAACCTTTTATCACATTTTTCTGTACACCATTAGAAAGGAGAGATCTTAAGCTTCAAAACAGTGTATCTCTCAGTTTTTTATACGTTGAATTGCATGAGTTGTGATTGCAGAAAGACCGGGATACTAAGAGAGGCTTTCTCGGACCAAATAGGACAGTTTAGTCGACATAATTACAAAATAAATTTTTTAAATTATTAAGAGCAGTGTTTTTCATGAGCAAATTCTAACAGTTTTAGTGCTGAATAGACTGTATAAACAAGAGCCAGCCTAACCATTATCATCCTTAGGCAGTCTTCTAATATTCCAATTTGATTCCACTAACCCATGATTCTTTTGTTCATTTAATATTTTTGATTTAATTGCTCATCTATCATCGAATATTTTATTCATAACTGATATATAACTTATATCATCAATTTTACTAGTTTTATGAAGTACTGAATTGTTAGGACAATATACGTATATTTTTCTTATTCCATTGTATTCTAAAATAGCTGAAGCGTTTGCTTTGACAGACGTAGGGTTAAAATTTATTCAATGTAACCTATTTATTAGTAACGCTAGACAATGCAATCCAGATCTGCCCATGATCGAATATATTATTACCAGCATCAATTAGCGCATTGTTTAAGCTTAAGCCTTGACATTTGTGAATAGAAATTGCACAACTCAGTGACAAAGGAAATTACTCTTCTGTAATATCAATTCTATCCACTAATGTGAAGTGATACACCATTCTTTTTAATAAATATTATATATCGGATTCTAATTTTATTTTGGTAGACTCAACGTCCCCTTTACTGTTTCTAGTGATTAAAATCATAGTACCAATTGTTCCATTTATGAGTACGATCTAAATGTCAACATTTCTTCGTATCATGACTCTGTAACCAAATTTAATAAATATTACTTGATCTAGCCATACTTATTTTTAGTATCCTTATCAAGTAATAATTTTGAAATTTTTTTCTGTAAATTTTGCGGATATTTTTTAGCATCGATGCTTACTAAGTTTATTGCATTGGACTTGTTCCTTTTTAGCATAGTATCACTTAAAATTGTATACCTCTTCATGTTTGGCAATAAACAAACACTGTCAGGCGGTAACTTGTTCAAGTATTCACATAACTCATTTAATATTACGCCAGAATCGTCACTTCTGAATTTTAATTTCCTATTTTGTAATAACTTTACGTCTGAATTAGTTACAATCCCTAATCTTAATTTGGATAATGTTTCATTGTAAATTGATGTCTTATATTAATTGTTGATTCGTTGTAGTAATAGAGTACACAAATTATACGTAGCCAGCGACTTAACATATTTATCCATTTTATTTTACGTCATTTCAACAAAAGCAAAATCTGCTTACACTGGTGGTAATTGCAATAAGTCTCCAAAAATTATATATTTTTACCAAACCAACCATATTTCATATTCGACATATTAAATATTTCCGCTAAGCGTAGATAAATAAACAAAACCGTCGCATTTGACACCATGGATATTTCGTCAATAATAATCAAATTAATATTTAGTAAGCTCTGTCTTACTTGTTTTATAGTTTGAGAAGATAATTCTGTTTAAGTTGACTTCGATTTCGAATGCTGAATTGCAATAATCTGTGAACAGTTAAACCTTTTACGTTGTTAGCAGCAATACCGGTCGGAGCACTTACAGTTGTATTTTTGTCTTTTTATTTATTTCATTCCATACAACTAATGTTTCAATAAGAAAACTTCCAATTCCCAGGACCGCTGATGAACATCCTCACACAAGATTAATCTGACAATAAAGCAGATGAAATTTTTTTAAATATTCTTCATTGAATTTAGAAACTGAAGTACTTCATCTGCTTCCAAATTTCCAATCATTTCTTAAATATCTTTTAGGTTCTTTCCTTCTTCTAATGTAACATAATCGTCGAAGTTGTTCGATTTGGATTTATTTGACAGACTGTTTTTTTGCATAAGTTGTTGCTTATTTAATTTATTTGCATTATCCATGGTCTTTTAAATTGCTTTAACTTTTCATGGTATTTAAAAGCATCAGCCAAGTTGTTTTGATTTTTGATAAACGCTTTTGAAAAACGTGTTTTCGTTACTTTTTAATTCCTTTGTATTTTTTCATGGCTTGAATAATATTAATGTAGCATAAAAATATGGTTCTGGTTATATTTCTGGGGGTTTGCAATGAGTAATTATGTATGACTTAGTTCTTTTTTTGATATACTACCTATTTTCAATTTCATAAAATAAGGCTTTTCTAACACGATTTTTCTTCCAAACATCAAACCATCTTGCAAAGTCCTACAAACACATTTCTTCCAATTCCATTAGACGCTGAGGATAATAATCTAAGAAACTGTCACAAAATATATGCTTGCAATTATTGGATGATTTTTTAGATTCGATATATGGTTTTAATTTTTTTTCTGTTCGTATTAACGTCAATGTAACGAAAAACAGTATCTTTCTCAGTTTTATATTTAGGATGTCCCAACAGAACATCGGCGGCCTGTATGGCTCCGACTTCACGATGATTTAATTTTTTCAACCTAAACTTCAAAGCTTACTGTTTAGCGTTTTATCTCCAGCAATAGCTTAACCTATATTTGTGAAATTAATATTACTTTTTTCCCCTTTAATTCCATAATTAGAAACATAATTTGTTAAAAAATATGACGAACCGCCAATAAATTGTGAAGTATAATCCACCAATATAATAGTATATACCGCCAATAAAAAGTGAGAAATATAATCATTAATATATTTTTCTCCCTCTATCTTTACTAGATTATAAAATCGAACTTTATTTTTCAGTTTCCTACGAATAGCTATAGACGTAGTGATGCTTCGAAGGTTAAAAGATTTAGTAATCAGTCGAGGAAAACCAAAGTGACATTTATTGATCGTCCCCTTTTTAATTTGTTTTGCTCGCCTACAGTAAGTATTATCTTTATGATATTGATGACTTATAACTTTTCTATGAAGATTAGGTGAAATCTTTTTATTTGATATCCTGCAACTTATATGCTTAATAATAAAGACTTTAACCTCTTTATTAGTTAATAAACTATACATCGGTGCATTTTTTGTCCAAAAGATGCAATGATAATGAGGTAGACCTCTTCCTTCATACTTAATTCAACAATAATCATGCATATTTTTGCCTATTTGATTAACACTAGAATAAATATAAGCCAAAATCGCTTGAAATTTGTTGTTCATGTACATCCAAGTTACTACAGGATGAGACGCAAAAAGTTCATTGGATAATATTTACCTCCCGTGAGTCTTTCTACTTTGCATTAGTAATCCGCTAACGTACCCTACATATATTCATCAGGGTTTAATGTAATAAAAAATGTAACAGGTCCATACTTAGCCATCATAGCATCTCTTACCTTTTTCCAATAAGCTTCCATTCTTGTTATTCGAGAAAAAATTATTGTGAGATTGACTTCTTCAAGATTATTTCTAATTTTACCAAATAATGACCTGTAAAATATTTATCACGCGTATTAAGAACATTTAATAAATGGTATATTCCTGCTTTAATGTTTCTTATATAATTATCATTTAATAAAAAAAACAGAAATTGGATACTTTTTTTTAAATCAACGTGTTTTGATAAAAGAATATGTTTGATATAATCGCTGTCTCTTAATGGAACTATCCTCTTATCCTATTGACCATATCTTCCATATGAATGTATGTCTGGAAAGCATGATAAATCCAAATATTTATTGTGACTATTCAAAGGCTCAGCATACGTTTTTTTCATTTAATATAATTTTATATCAGAACCTTCAAGCTTTTCAGAAAACAAAGATGTTATCGTATATTGTGCATAAAAAGGATCTGATTCTAATTTTGGGGTTAGCATAGCTTCACGTTTTGAAATTTTAAATTTTTCTGCATCATAAATATCAATATCGTTTTCTTCAACACAGATATCAGTACTAGAACTGATATTATCTTTGTACTCTATTTTCATATTTCTGAAACAGCCTTTAAGATCTGTTGGATCGTTAGACAATTTGATTTTTTAATATATAAGATTTTTTTAACTATTTCAATGCTTGCCAAACTTTTTTTATGTTGTCATAATTTCTCTATATAACCTTTTTTTAGTCGGATTTGTACGAATTAAAATACGAGGGTGGGTTAATAAGTCCTTAGAAAAAGATAGAAAAACAATTTTTTTTATTTTTTAACATAATCTTCTTTTAGCTCGATACACTTTTCCAGACGTTTTTCAAGTTTTTTTAAGCCATCAGAAAAAAATAATTTTGAAAGTTCCTCAAAATAGCCATTTGTTTGTGTTATGACCTCCTCATTTGAGATGAATCGTTGTAAAGCAAGCCACTTTTTTAGGTTTGGGAATATAAAAAAGTCACTAGGGGCCAAATCTGGTGAATACGATGGATGGTCTACTAATTCGAACTTCAGTTCCTTAATTTTAGCCATTGAAACTAAGCAAGTGTGCACTCGTGTACTGTCTTAATGAAACAGAATCTTTTTTTGTTCAATTGAGGACGTTTTTCCTTTATTATCTCGCTCTCGGTCCAACAACGACGCATATTATTACTCCTCGGTGATTGTCCTTTTTCTAAATAGTCGACGAAAATGATTCCACGTGCATTCCAAAAAACAGTGGCCATAACCTTGCCGGTCGATTTCACTGTCTTCGCCTTCTTTGGAGTTGGTTGACCTTTCACAATCCACTGTTTTGACTATTTCTTCGTCTCAGGAGTGTATTGTGTATCCACGTTTCGTTTACAGTTATGAATCGACGCAGAAAGTGGATGCGCGCCAAGAGGGCCTCAATGGCCACCACTCAACTGCGTCTATTCTCGACTGAGAGCAAACGCGGCACCCATCTTGCTGAAATTTTTCTCATGTCCAATTTCTTATGCAAAATCGAAATGACTGTAATACTTTTGAAACCCCTGTGGCCTCAACTATTTTTGCGCAATTTTATTCTTCGGTCACTCAACACTATGTCGTGGATTTTATTGATCATTTCCGGAGTGCTCACGTCTAGAGAACAGCCTGAACGATATTCATCTGCAGTCGATGTACGACCACGTTTAAATTCATTTACCCAATTGTAAACAGTTGCAAACACAGGGACAGATACACTATGAACTGCATCTAACTCAGCTTTGATTTGTTTCGATGTAAGGCCTTTTAAATAGGAATGTTTCATCACCGCTCGGAACTCACTTTCTTCCATTGTTAACAACAAACAAAAGTTGTTTACTTTGATCGACGATAAAAACAGAACTACTCGATGGATCTGGCTGTAACTTCGGCAGTACTTTATTCAATTGTGACGCTTGCTGGTACAACATAAGTTGGGATGCTTTGAGTGCAATCTCTTGGATTTTTTAAGGACTTCATGACCCACTCTCGTATATATTTCGTGATCACTGGTTAAGGGACTCGTATCGGGATATATTTTTTTGTAAAGTTACTTCTTGTGACAAGGATAAATGAATAGTTATTCCAACCACGCTATCAATTTTAGCGTAATATGGTATATATTTTTTATGACCGTACCTTTTTTCTACAGCTTGAAACACTTTAGCTCTTTGTATAATAATTTTTTCAATCATATTTAATGACTTAATTTTATCAGGGGTAAATTTCACGTAAAAATTATTTAAAAGACACCATGAAGGTCATTGTTTCTCAATTTTTGCGAGCAAGTATTACAGATATTTCTATCGTTGATGATATATTTAGAATTATTTTAATATACCATAAGTTGTTTCCAAAAGTTTGGACCTAAATCCAGCAATTCCACAGTAAGATTACATTTGACATCTTTGGTTGGTTTCAAAGAATGTTTTTATATTAATTTTTCACAAGATATATAAGAAGTTTTTGGTAGTTTCTGAACGATTTCATTGCAAACTATTATACCTGCATGATAAATTTTCTTCAGGTCATTTTCATCTAATGATGGTACAGATTAATTAGAACATTTATATTTGTGCGCGTAATTGACAGTCATGCATGTAACCTTGTAACGGTTGTGTAGTTTTCGGAAGCAAATCACCGTCCGTTAACAAAATATCTATGATACCGCCGTTTCCTCTTTTGGCTGGCTCTGTACTGGACGCGCGGCCTGAAAACGAGCGCGAAAGCACGAAATAATACGAAAGAGCGGTGGTTGTAGGTTCTTAGAAAACGTTGCGGGGGAGAAGGGAACGTGGAGAGAATTCGGTGCTATCGAATGAATCTGCCGATTTGCTCGGTACGTTCACAACAGATTTTATTCGTTGCTCAGTTACACGTTAGCGCGCATTCCATGTTGGCCGAGAGATTCGCAACGCACATCCTAATCACACGTACGCGTGAGAGAGAGACAGACAATACAATTTCGAGTGGCGCGCGGCCGGCGCAGTTTATGTATGTTCGTTTATCGGAGCTCACGCACGCAATATTATTACATCGGAGGGGACTTACGCGGACGAACGCTGCTGCAGACAGCTTCGCCTTATAATTCAAGCCTGGTTACGCGAAGGTCGAGGCCGGGAGGCCTATGAGTTGATCCCCGTGTGTTGTGGGTGACGAGTCGGATCTCCTCGCTCGGATGATGGTTTTCGAATCCGCCGCCCTCGTACGTTAGTCGTAGCAGGGTGTCAGCCTCAATCACAGTGCTCTCTCTTCACAATTGCTCAACCTCACTCAGCAGTGTCACTAGTCCACCCGATTTTTCACACAAAAAAAATAGGAACAAAGGATCTTCGAACGCGTGCTACCCGCTTGCCGGTCTCACGTGTACTCTCTCGATTCCGCGTGTCGTAGCTATCTCTCTCTCTCTTTCTCGCTGCGCGGGTCTTTTGCGCATGGCGCGCTATTTCAAATCTCGCTCATCTACCTCTTAACGAGCCTACTCGTTACAACCTATAGTATTCTTTATTATTCAACTTTGTCTTTTCTTTATTGGCTATATTTTTCAATTTCTTGATTTCTTTATTTGCGTTAGTTATAAATTATGATGTTAAGAGAAGCGATAATTCCATTATTGTTAGCAAATTTTGCTCTAAATCATATAGTTGAGTATGTTTATCAGTCGATTAATTAGAATTATTTGATGCTTTAATTTCTTTATGTTTTGCATATATTGCAATTTTGTTAAGGTTATACTTAGCTTTATGGTTCAAATTTCTTTCGATTTTGTGCGATCGATAATTTTTACGGTTTTTCAAATTTTTATTTTTGTTTTTCTAAATCTTTACTTCTAGGTGTTTATATAGATTTTTTTGTTCTTTATTGCACTTCTTGCTAAGGTAAAACTTACCTTTTCTTTTTAACTGTTTCGATTTTGTGTAAATAATATTTATGGTTATTGAAGCGTTTTTGTTATCTTTTTGAGCCATTATTCTTAAGATTGGTTGAAAAGTTGGGTAATATGTTATCTGGCAATTTCAATCCTGATTGTGAATCTTGAATTGAATTATTTTATACATATTTGAGGGGAGGATCGTTACAATTTTTCAACGCAAAATCATCGTTCATCTCATTGTCTTCTTCATACTTAATTCGTTTTGAAAAATTGATTGTAAAGTCATCATATCGTTCTCGCTTTCTGGTCTTTTTATTTAAATTTAACTTATGATGGCTCTGAATAGCATTCATTGAAAAAATTGTATCCTTATTTCCAGTTAAATATACTGATTCAAAATTTATTTTTTGTGAAATAAATTATATTAATGTATGCATTCTTACTATGATTAAAAAATAAGGAATTTTATATATAAATCGTCAACTTTAGTCCAAGTATCAGCTTGCCTGGTAATACTGATATGTGCCCTGTCTCAAGATCAGTACCGCAGTGGAATAGTTATACTTACTACTTCATAAGTTTGGTTATTGATCATAATCTTATTTCGAATATCTTCTACAATATAGTCATTCATTTTGTTTTC